CCCACGGATTTTCTGTGGTAATTTAAAAAATTTTTAACTTTTAGCAACGGATTACTAATGAAATCTATAAGTATTTCTAGCTTTTAGTGACGGATTATCGATGGAATCCATTGCTAATTAAAAAAATTCTTTTTCAATTTAATTTTAAAAAATATTTTTATTTTTTAAATAAACAATTTTTTAGTGACAAAAAGAAAATCTGTTGATAATCCGTCGGTAAAATTTTTAGCAATGAATTATAGATGAATTTTTTCTGTCGGTAAAAAACATGCCAAATCCTTAATTTTCCTCCGATAATTTCACCTACGGAACACTAACGGATTTTTTACCGTCAGTAAATTTTGTTGGTAAGTCGTGGGTTAAAATTTTCTAAATTTTTTTCCATTGATAAACTATCAATAATTATCAATGAAAAAATTTCGTCGATGAAAATCCATTGGTATTAAAAAGATTTATGGTAGTGAGAAGATAAAACCCTAATGTTGGATTTATGCTTTTAAGCTTTGAAGTTAGGTATTGAAGGTCTTATAATAAGGATTTAAATTGCAATTATGGTCATGTTTTTAGTCACATTGCATTTATCTTTATTGTGGACATATTGATTGCCATCGCGGTCATTGTGATCTTTTTGATTGTGAATTTTATTAATTTTGTATAATTTATTATAAAACATAGTAATTATGCTTATAATCATAAAAATGCCTTTCTAATGATTTTTAAAGTAAGTTATGACTCACTAGGTTCATTTATTTATATAAAAAAATTATAATTTTTTGTGCTTATATTAAAAATATTCATATTTAGAAAAATAATCATTCTTACCTATCAATTTTTATCAATATTAATAACTAATAAAATAAAAATGTTAAATATCAAGCATTCATATTTAATAATATTTATTGGGAGTAAATGAGAGTTTCTTGTAATGAAATTCTTCTTATTTAGAAATTTTTTTATAGAATTAGTACTTAGATTTTTTGAAAATTTATCATCAAAGATTCACATTTACTTTATTTATTAGTGTGATACTTTATTTATAAATATTTCATAAGAAAAAAGATTTTAACAATAACACAATCATTCATAATTTTTTTTTTATAACATACTTTAAAAATATTATTAACATGAATTAAAATAAATAAATATACAAATAAAAACTTGTTAAGGTTTTAATGTAAGCTCTAAAGGATTCAATAAGTCCAAAAATCAAATAGCTTGTCAACTGTTGAGCCAAAATTTAGTATGCAAGGCAAAGGTTCATCCAATGCTTTCCTCTTTATTTTTTTGCATAATCCCAAAACTCATCGTTTAGTTCTTAGGTATGAATAAAAAAATCATAAAACCATAATCCATTTTTTTCTCTATTCTTTCTTCTTTCACGAGTGGCACACTTATCTTTTTCGTACCAAACCCGAAACCTGACCTTCAGGTTATCGCCATTAGCAATGCTTCGTTTGCCGTCCAGCTCCGAACACAGCTTCTTTTCTTCTCCTCCTTTCTCTTTCATCTTTTTTCTTTTCTCCTAAAACCTGAAAGCTTCAGTCACCTATCCCTTTTTCACTCTAGAAACAAAGGGCTCTAACCACCTAGTTACATCTTTCTTACCTTAGGCCTTAGTTTCAATGTAGCCAGCATCAATTTTTTCAAGATGGTTCTCACAATATAACTCACCAGTTTTTGCAAAAATTTTAGCAAAAAAAGAAAAAGGAAATTTTAAGTTAAATTACAATGCTTGCTTTTAATAAGTTGGTTATGCTTGATCTTGATTTAGTGTTTGGGTTTGATTGATTTTGTTTTTTTTTTTTTGGGGGGGGGCTTTTTTTATGATGAAAACCTTTTAATTTTACTCAAGCAAAATGGGTTTTTTTTTTTTTTTTCATTTTTTCATATATTTTTGATGAAAAAAAAAAAAAAGTAACGAGCAAACGTGACACATTGCTATCATTGTGATCAACATTCTCATTCATTTTTTCTTCAATTGCGATGCCAAACAGCAAGGTTATCGCAAAATAGCAACTGCTAAATTGCTACCTGACTGTTATTTAAATTCTTATTTTGCAATATTTAGGTTGTTAGATATAATTTTTTTTTCCTTTTATCAGCCAAGTTTCAAGAGTCATAAATTTCGGTTTTTTGGAAAAGAAATTAGAAAGAATATCAAATTGTAAGCAAGGATTTTGTCCATGGTGTATTTTTTCTTGTTTTACATGTAATTGATTGAGTTTGAGAATGCTAAAATTTTGAGAATGTTGAGATGATTTTAGAAATTATTTTTTAAATATCAACGATGAAAACCAAGGAAAGGATGAGGGGAAGACCCAAAAAAAGTTAGGTGACCATAAAAGGTAGCAGTAGTAGTAGATCTAGGTTCTTGAATTTTGATATTTTTGGTTTTTCATGAAAAGGAAGGTTTTTTTGAAAAAATCAAATCGATGGATTTGTAGAGGAGATTAAATGGAGGCTTCGGATAGATCTAGATGACATTTCGACGCCAGTGCACGGTAACGGACATGGGGGTCAACATAACGGTAATTCCAAAATCTGGGTTTGTATATTATCGAAATCTAGGTTTATATTTTTGAGCAATTAATTATTTTAATTTAATTATTAAAGTTTTTTTTAAAATAAAATAAATATGAGGTAAATTAAAAATCAGATCACTCGATATGCTATTTAATCCGCTTTAGAACCACATCAAATTTACATCAATCAAAATATCACATAAAAAAATCAATAAAATGAAATAAAAAAAATCTATGAACACGTCATTATGTCAAATGTTACATCAAATTTTTTTAATAAAAAAATTAGATAAAATTTATTATTAATGATTAAATTAAAATTATTAAATTAAAATAATATAAAAATATAATAAAAAAATTTAAAATTAAAATTTCATATAATACAGCAACCTCATCTATAATTATACCGTCAAACATAACCAGCATGGCCATCAAAGAAAGCGTTCACCCCACCAAAGACAACCCAAAGTCCCAACCCGTCCATGGAATCTCGTCTGTTAGGGGCCCCACCCGACGTGGACATTTTCTACTACGCGGCACCGGATCCGTGATTCCTATTGGCTAAAGATCCTGGTCAAAAATAAATGGGTCCCACCAAAGACGTCAAATATACTATTTTTGTTTTAATTTTATAGTATTTTATTTTTGGCTTTCTTTCTTCTGTCTTTTGCAACAGAGAGAAAGTAAAGAATAAGCACGGGCCCAGGCCATGACGAGCGAGATAAGCATAAGCACGGGAGGGTGGGGCCCAGGCTATGAGGGGAGAAGCGACACTGACAGCGAAAGCACGGTTCTATCCATGTTTTCTATCCTATTCTATTCAAAAGTGAATTATATCTTTAATTAAATTTGTGATTGAAATTTAATAATTTTAAATTAAAGATATAAATAAATAAAAATTAATTAAAAATAAAAATAATTTAATAAAATATTAATCATAAATTTAATTTAAAATTTATTTATCGTTTTTAAATAAAATAATTGAAAGATTCACTGATTTGGAAAGAGTAAAGAATCTTTTTCCAAAATACTTTTACAATTCAAGGCCCAAAATTTAATCTTTTAGATGATGACTATTTTTTGAAAACAGTTGTAATGAAAGTTTTGATAAGACATGAGAAGCCATTAGCAACCATTTGTTCAAGTCATTCCTTATCCTAATCCGAATATTTGACCTTTTACCAAGTATTAGTGTTTTATTTCATGAATTTATTTTTTTAAAATTTTATTATACTCTAAAATATGTGTTACTTACTCAACCTGACAATGAAATTTGGATGTGATAATATTTCAAGTTATATTTGGTTGGTGGGTTATGAGTAATTTGATTGAATTAGCATAATGTAACTCTAATAACTTGAGTTGGTTTGGTGATTGGGAGATTAGTGTTGTCTAATCATATTTCCAAAGTTTTGACCACATGATCCATGTTTAGTCACTAGCCATGTATTTTATGCAACCAAACCTTAACTTTAGTGTAAAAAAAGTACTAAGTGGTCCAAAGAAAATATAAAAATAAAAAGGCAGAAGCTATTCTTCCTCTACCTGTAATATAATAACTCTCATGTGAAAGAGATTTGAATTAACTTGAGATTCTCATGTGTGAGAAATGTGGACTTATTTCATATCCAATCACATGGGAAATAGGACCCTCCCTTGTAATTCAGAAAACTTGCACATGTTTGGTGTTCAATGTTTCCGATATTAATCTCTTGATATTCTAATATTAATGCTTCAGTCTGATAATGAGATGTGCTATGAAACTACCAAAAAGTTTCAGGCTCTTTTGAGCATAAATACAAGATTGGTTGGCCTTTGCTTTTTTGAACGTACCCTTGTTTTATTTAGAACTTTTGTTGCACACAGAAGATCCCAATTAAATGAATTTCAACTAGGCATTTATATATGACCAAGAAAAATATGTACTCATATTGAGTCCAATCATTTCCTGAAAGACAAATAGGCTGAAGAATCATGGAGTTGGTTTCCAATGGTTGGCAAAATGTCAACCAAGTCATTCACCAAACATTTCACCACCAGGTGATCTAAAAGATACTGTAGGCAAATCCATGGTCATCTAGTTTTGCTGAAAGCTAATGGGGTTTAGAAGTTCAGAGAAGCTGATAGCCGTCTGCAAGAGGAAAATGGGGACGAAGAATACTTCTCATAGTACCCTTTCTTTTTTTTGGTATTCTGTGACTTCCAGTAAAAAAACAATCTTATGATCAGAATCTCAGCTTTCCTGCTGAGTCAAACTTTTCTCTTCTCTATTATGAACTTTTGGAAGAAGCATATGAACAAAGGGTTTAGTGGAAGGGAATAATGCTGACAAGCTACCAGGTTACCTTTGGATATGCCATGCGGAATTGGTTGGGAATTTAGAGCATCCAATTTTATGAGCTTTGCTTGTGGAGCTGTTTGTTAGAGATCAAAACTTGAAATTGTCCTTCAAGTAACAAACCACTTGTTGCTGCAGCAGGTCAAACAAAACAGAGACACATCACTTTCAGGGAATCTCAACAAAGGCTTGAAAAACTGTCAATGCAATGGTAAACTCCTTAAAGGCCATTAATATGGCTAGTGGCCAAGAAGGTTATTGTTTTAAGTTGAAGCTTTCCGGCGGCTTGAAGTTTAGGAATTGAATTCATAAGTTAACATTCACATTGAAGGCATGACCAGGGAATATGGGTTAGAAATATGATTAATATCACGAATAACTCTTAAATTATAATAAAATGTTTAATGTATACTTAAAGTTTAAAAATCTCTAATGCAGTGTTTAAATTATGAATCAGATAACAAATGTGTTACTCACTTTTAAAATTATTAACTTCTAATAATAACATGTGATCGATAAACAACTTTTCAAGTACCATATTAGTTAATTAATTCATAACTCAAATATCAAATTGAGATTTTTAAAATTAAAAAAATCATATTTACCATTTTACTATAATTCATAAATAATTCGTAATACTATTCCATTAAAAGTATCACAAAATGTTATCTCCTTAATTGCCAAGTATCAAGAAGGCTCAAAATAAACAAGATGTAAAAGAAATCCCGGAAATTAAAACTCAGACTATGTTAATTGTTTGAAAATTCGAAATCCAGTAGGTCCTTCCAGAAAAGAAAAAGAAGGATAAAAGAAAAAGCCTATAATATGATCGAATGGAGTTCAAAGGGCTAAAAGAAGAGGAACTTACTATCAAAGAAAGGATGATACATCCAGCGGCACCAGGAAAAAATGCATACCAAAAATTCAAGTGGTGTAACTTAACTCCATCAATAAACAGAATTGGCAAACTTGCAGCTGCATTGAAATTGGCATCAAATATGAAAATGGTTTCAGTCATGATAGAATTCAAAGTTGAAGATCGAGGACAAATCAACCAATGAGTAGTACCTGGTGGATGGGTGGAACGTGTATAGATCATGAAAGCTATGGATGCAGCAAGGGCAGCACTTCTAGCAAGCCAACCAGGTCCAAATATAGAGAATGCCAGAACACCAATTGCTGCACAACCTATCTGAGCCATGAACATATTGTACATCTGCAACATCGTGGAGGTTTTCATGACAAGGGAAAATTGTTCATCTCAAAAGAAATAACAATTACACAAAGTTAACGGGCCTACATCCCTAAGTACGTATGATGCAGGATCCATGTACCTGTCACTCATATCATAATTTTATTAATAGGCTTCTTTGTCGTAGTTGGAATCTCTATAAAACACTTTTAGATTAATTTGTTGGTCATCTTCTTTTCTTTTATCTGTGAAAGTTATTTTTTGTAGCACACCTACTGCTCTTGTTTGGATGAGTAAAAATTTTCAATTATCCAAAAAATAAAAAAACTCCCAAGTATGTGAAAGTGAAACAACTGGTTTCCACAAATTGGCAAGTAAAATTACAGCATAGTTAAAGCCCTATCGAAGATGCAAATTTGCCAATAGAGATAAGAAATCTTCTGATACATGTAGTGTTTATTAGGCCATCATTAGTTGCAAACAGATTTAAGCACTCGATCTCCAGCATTACAAGAAAGATACAGTAAAGGTAAAGCTAAATTGGCAATTAATGTCAAATGCTGCAAAAAAAGAAAGGACCATGTTAAACAAATTATGGAGATTTGTTAATTAAGAAGCTTTTTTATTCCAGATGCTGATGGCTTAGGCTCCATTTGAAAGGTTGAAAGGGTCTAATCATAAAATGTAGCTTTTGATGTGATGGGAACATTTTCTCTGAGCTCACAAATGGAGCCTTAGACGACGAAAGTAGGAACCCAATTCAAAGATCAACCACACATAATGAAATTCAATTTGAAATCATATTTAATTTAATTGAATTATGCAATTATCATTAAAAAGATGACAATCAATAAATTTATTATTCAAATTCTAACTTCAATTTTTTCCTTTATGTCCAGGTTACAGCTCCATTTGTTAAAAAAAAAAAATCAAGCTGATCAATATAGTCTGAAATGTAGCTTAATTTTCTTAATCCTATTAGCAAAACATGATCCTTAATCAACCTAGTTGTGGTTTCCTATAAAAGGAACTTAGCATCTACAAAGAAATAGAAGTTCGATATCACATAGTTGTAAAAGGTGACTAATTACTTATTATGACAGCAGTGGAATCATATCATCTAGTCCATTCTAAGATAACTTCAGGAACATATAACTTGAAGTAAATACTTTTATGATTAACAATAATTTCTGTTTATCATTGCAACTAATTTGTTTGTAGTTGGAATTCAAGAATAAACCATAAATGAAAATTTTCTATAGAAAACCTGACTCTATCCAACAGCTAAGCTGAACCCAATTGTACAATTAAGGATCTTTATCGTAGGTGCCACTGCATATACTGTTGCCCTCTTAGCCTGAATTGATAGTCTAGTCTTAATAGAGTCGATATAAATGAAAATCTTGGATGCAATTTATATAAAAAATATAATTCTTCAATATCATTGGATTCATAATTCTAGTTATCATGCTCAAAATAAAGGCCCTCTTTGTTGTCCATATACATTTCTCCTCTGGCAATTTTGCAGCCAATGATCTCTCACTCCGGGACAGCATTTTGGTAATATGTTTGACAACTGTTTCCTAAAACAGTGATAAGCCACTTGCATTACTATGTGACCTTCAAACCAATTTTATAATGTTAAATTAAATTATCTGAGAGCCACATTTCGATCAACCAGGACCAAGTATTAAAAAAAGGCTACACCCTCGAGGCAATGGGCCCAATTCGATGAAAAAGACAATAGGTTTTAACCACTAATAAAAGGAGGAACAAGAGAGAAATACCCGAGCAGCAGGAGAGGAGGGAGAAGCAAACAGGACCGCGCAAACGGCTCCTAAAGGTGCAATTGTCATTGAAATCCCTTTTGGTGCTAAAACTTGATCCAACTTTCCCAATATCGCCATTGCCGCGAAGCCCCCTGTTTCATTTATCGACCAAAACTTCAAAATTAATAGACTTTGACATAAATTATACATGTGCTACATTTCTTGAAAAAAGGCTTATCAACATCTATAGTTTGTTGGCATATAGCGCTATAAGTCATGGGATTTTCACAAGAAATTAATGTTTACTAGCCTGCAGAAGGCCAAAGGATGTCGCTGAGTGAAGGTGCAGAAGAACTTTTCTCAGGTTTCCATGAATCCCAGAGAGGCGCAGCCACGTTGCTGCTCGATGCAACCACCACCCCGTATTCTCTTCTTTTCTTTCTTCTTAAGCTTGTTGCCGTTTCAAAACCAAGAGATCTCTCCAAATCAATCTCCTTGTTTCTAACCAAACTACTTCCCTTGAACAACAATGGAGAAATTGAATTTAAACATATTGATGGTGATGGTGACGATATCAATGTTGTTGCAGGCATGGCGTTGCTTTGATGATAATAATAGTTATTAGCTCTCAATTGGGTAGCCATTTCTTAGTACTTTAAGTCCCACCACCGCCACGGCGCCACCCACCACCACCGTTTCCCCTAGTCCCCATTTTTGTTCTGGTGGCAACGTTTTTATTAGCAAGGGTTGAAAAGGAACATGACAGACACAATTAAATAATTGATGTGGTATAATCTAAGAGAGAAAAAGAAGTAGCTGACCGTTTACAAATGGTGGTGAAAGGTTGGCTTTTGGAGGCTTCGAAAAGGCATTAATCTGATAGGGAATCCAGCATTGCCGCTATTTTTTTTTTTTTTTGACATTATTGCGAATTTTTTACATATTAATTCATTATGTCTAGACTTAATAATTTATTTATTAACATTGTGTCTAACGTGATATCTTTGTCAACGCATGAATAATTGATATATAAATATGATAAAATTAATTCAATGTATAAAAATTTTAAATATAATCGATCACATTTGTTGTATGTTTATATGTAATAAGATATGATGAATATATTTAAAATTAATCTATTTAAATATTATACAATGATTAGTCTCAAGTGGATATTTAAATGTTTAATTTTTTATTTAATTTTTCTTGGGGTCTAAATAAATGGCTCAAAAATGATTATACACATCTCATAACCTCTTAATTATTTTTTTTTTTGAAGAATTTGAAGAATTTGTCTTTGATGGTACTTTATGTCTGAACTCTGTTTTCACAACATTCTTGCACAATTTCGAATGTGGACATTAATCAGTCATTATTAAAGTTGGCACTTATGGGTTGCATTTCGATATATAGATTTAAGGTATGTAGTCTTATATAATCTTTTCCATAAATAATTAAAGAATATTAGGTGATAGTTGATCGATCATAAGTGTTAAAATTAAACAAATCCATTAATTTAATTGAAAGGGGAATGGGAATTAAAATGGGAAAATGTTCAAGAAAATATGAAGAAAAATTCTTTAGAGTAATTCAAAAGCCCAAAAGGTTCCAATGGATAATTCAAAGGGCAAATTAAGCAACTTCCAACTTAAGCTATTTTAATAAATTCTTTGGATAAATGTAGCATCCTTGACTAGCCTTTGAGAGCAGCGAAGGGTCCATTTAGTGGCTTGAAATCAAGATATTAATTATAAAGGAGTTGTTGAGGAAAATTTGAAGGTCTGCTTGACTTGAGAAAGGCATATGGCCCTATTTGTCAACCAAGGAACTCTGCTTCGTCCATTAAAGGCTGCATCCGTGCGGCCAACTGTCTTCGATTGAAAAGCTTTAGGCCTTTTTTACCAAACAAAATAAAAAGTGACAGCCTAAAATGTCATATCATTTCTATTCTTTTTAGGCAAGACTAGTACTACAAATATCTAACCGCCCTGCCATGGTGATTGTCGTTACGTGAAAAATGTGATGATTCCTATTAAAAACCAATATTCTAAAGCCACCTCACATTTAAAATTAAAATTTTTTAATAATTAAAACGATTAAGAATTGAATTTTGATTTATTTGAATTATAAACACTGGAACAGGTTGTAGACGTTATTTGGTAACAGTGCTTTGCTACTTCTTGAACAATAAATACACTACTTAAAAAAAAAAAATCACTTCAAAGTAAATTTTCTATAGATTTCATTTTATCAAATACATTTTCTTGTAAAGGCCAATGATATTTGCTTCAAAATTGAAAGTAAAAAAAAAAAACCAATTAACCCCAAAAAGGTATTCATTGGCTGTCCTTTCTTAGAAGAAGTTTGGCAAAAGGCTCTTCAATTGTACGAATCAAGAAAGGAGTAAAGAATTGGGCAGAAGATCTAAGTTAGATAGTAATAAGGTTAAAAGGGAGAAAATAAATGTTCATCTTTTGGTGCATACCATGGAAATGCTTGTATTTATCAAATATGAAAAAAAAAAAAAAAGAAATTGTAGGCTGTTTAGACATATGATAGAGGCAGTAGCACAGATGATGAACTGTGTAAGGATGCTATCACGAATTTGTTATATAGGCTATATCATATTAGTGCAGATATAATTAATAAAAATTTATGAGACGCTTGGAATCTCAAAGTTGTTATCTTAAATAGGCTGCTATTGGATGATATTTTTCGATTCTTTATAAAGATTGTGAAACTATTGTATGGTAGCCAAATTTTGTTAGCTTTGGCTTCTAAAAAAATTTTAAAAAAATTGTACTGTTAGACCTAAAATAATAAATATAATAATATATAAATAATATATCACAATAAATTTACAATGAAAATACAACAATTAAATATGAGAAAAATAAAATATAATAAAATTTACGTAAAAAATCTTTCAATACAGAGAGAAAAACTATGGATCACCAGAAAAATCTCTATTATTAAATAATAGGTATATAAAGTTTGTTTTTTGCTAAAACTAGAATTAAACAATAATTAGAGAAACAATTAAAAAATCTTTTTAAATATATGACTCTATAAATACATTTTCGATTTGTTCATAGAAAGCACCAACCTTATATCCATTTTTCAAAATGTAAAATAATGAATCATGAACACGCTGATAAAATTTCAACTCAATCAAGTGCAATAAAAAGTAAAAAGCTTATGAGCTTTTTATTAGTTAAAAAAAAAAATGGGTTGAACCCATGTTCTTAACAATATCCCCTTTAGCCCCATTAAAAAGAGATAAATTATCATAACAATTTTATTTAGAATTTACTTTGGTCAAGAAATACATTCCAGCCAAGTTATTGCAAAGTTCAAACTTTTCACTACAAAATGTCTTAGTCAACATATTAACTATATTCTCATAGTATGAACCTTCTTCAATTGCATTTGCCTCTTTTTAATCATCGAACATAGCTAATGATATCTAACATTAATGTTTTTTTTCTAGCATGGTATATAATATTCTTAAATCTAAAATATTTCGACTATCATAAAATATTACATATTCTTACGATTCAACCACAATTCAAAAAAAAAACATTTCATCCAAAGTATTTCTTTACATACTTCAATTGCTATAATATACATAGCCTTTGTAATCGACAAGGCAACAAACTTTTATAACTTAAACTGCTGAGATATAGCTCTTTCCGTAAAAGTAAACAATATCTTAAAGTAAATTTTTTACCATAAAGAACACCTATCATGTCAATATCAATAAACCATTCTAGAACTGGTTGGATAGTTTCATAACTCTAGCACATTTTTTAATGTGCCTTTTAAATATCTAAAAGATCCATTTCACTACTTCACAATAAACTTTTCTTGGATTAGAAAGAAATTTGCTCACTAAACCATTTGCACGAGCAATATTAGGTCATGTGCAAATCATAAGATACATTAAACAATCGATTCATAAGAATAAAAAATACTAGACATAATTAGTTACATTTCCTTCATCACTGGACAAGATTTTTTACTAAAAAAAAATGGATGGCAACTAGAGTGCTAACTGATTTAACATGCTATATGTTGAATTTATGAAGCACCTATTTAACATACTCATATTATGATAACGACTATCTCGGATAATATCCATATCAAGAATCTATTTTATTGGTCTTAAACTTTAATGTCCAAAGACTTAGACAATTGTTCTTTCAACTTGTTAACATCAGTATCTTGTCTTACAATTAACATATCTTCAACGTATAACAAGAGTATCATGAAGTTACCATTAGTGAATTTTTTATTATACAAATAAAGATACATTGCTGTTATTTTATAGCTATGGCTCAACATAAAAGAATCAAACCTCTTGTACCATTATCGTGGAGCTTGTTTTAAGTCATACAAGTTTTTCTTCAATTTACAAATTAAGTTCTCTTTCCTTTCAATTCAAAACCCTCAGGCTAATCTATATAAATCTCTTCTTACAAGTCATTATGTAATAATGCAATCTTGACGGTAAGTTGCTCAAGCTCAAGATTCAAACTAGTTATTAATCCTATTACCACTCGAACGAAAGCTTAACAAGATCATATGTAGCATTTTTTCGTAATGACTCTATTTCTTCTTTTATTACTTTCTATCTCCTTTTCATTAGTAACTAAGATAAATTTGAAACTTGGATACCTAGTGGATAGTTGATACTTTTCGATAGATCTCATAGGCTGAAACTTTACGCTACTTGATGCTAAAAGTAGCTTCATTTACTCAACACTCTTTAGTGCAAAGAATTGCTCATCATACTCAAAACTAATTTCATGTGGCTCACTACTAACTGTGACTGACTTATTCGTATCCCAAAGTTATCTTTTATTGCTCAAAATTAATTGCATTTGGCTCACCATTAACTGTGAGTAGCTTATTCGTATCCCCAAGTTCTATCTTTTACTTATTTACACAATTTATGGTTCTTTTAAGTGGAACATCTGTCGTTATCAAATTATCATACTCAACAATAACTTGTAAGTATTCTCATTCTTCTTAAGGTATGCTATATATTTTTTTTATTTATAAAAAACTACATTTCTACTTCTAATTTTTTTTATTCACCTAATCTCATAGTTTGTAGCTAAATTTCTCATCACTATATCTAACAGAAATATACTATGTAACTTTACTATCAAGTTTTGACCTTTACTCTTTTGACATATACATGAATGCTTTACATTTAAAAATTTTTAAATGAGAGTATGAAGCATCTTTTCATCCATACTATTTTTGGAATGCCAAAGCCTAAAGAAACTGATGGTGATCTATTAATCAAATAGTAGTCTATTTTAACTATTTTAACCTAGAATAGCTTTGTTAATTTTTTCATTCAATATACATGTGACTTTTTTTATAATAATGTCATTCATCTTTTCACTATATCATTATATTGCTGTATTTTAGGTTTTGTCATTTCATGCTTGATCTTATATTTTGAACAATAGTTTTTAAAGTTTTTGGATGCGTATTCTCTATCATTATCAATTCGAATACACTTTAAAAGTAATACTGTCATCCTTTTCACCATAGCATGAAATGTCTAAATATACTATAATACTTATTTTTTATTTTTCAACATATGCACTCAACTCTTATGTAAAGAATCATTAATAAAAGTAACAAAATATCTACTACCATCCAATGACTCAACTTCAATGGGATCACATACATGAGAATGAATCAATTCTAATATGTTTTCTTTCTCTAAGAACGTTTATGAAAAGAAACTCTACGATGCTTATCATGTAAATAATGATCTAATAAATCGAAAGATATACCTTTAGTAAAAAAAAATGAGAAACTACTTTACAAAAATATGTAATCCCTTTTTGTTCATGTGTACTAGCATTTTGTGCCACAAATTTGTTGAAACATCACGCTCAATGACATTTATCTGGTTGTTGCTTAATTACATCTATGTTTTATACATTATGCAGCATAGTTTTTCTCTTACAACTATCATAGATTTTTTTATAAGCTTATACTGGCTATTCTTTTGCTAACTTTTATATCATTCCTTGTCAAAGATATTAATTGTAATCAAGTTTATTCTCATATTTAGAATGTGTCTGACATCCTTCAATGTTAAAGTGTAGCTTATACTAGTTTGTATAATAATATTACTGATCCTAAAATTTATAACACATTCTTGTTTTCATCTCAATGCAACGGTTTCTTACTTTATAAGTTATAAATAACTCATTTTTACGAAAACAATGATATGCCATTTCTATGTTAATTATCCACTCAATATCTGGATCACTAACATGATTACAATCACCATGCGTACAAATCAAAGTAATTGAATCATTATCTGAATTCATCGTTATAACACTATAATCATTTAAACTCTTGCCTTTTTCATCTTTTTGCTCTTGCTTCAAGATTTTACATTTCGATTTATGTGATCAAGTTTATCATAATGGTAGCACTTTACTTCATCTTTGAACTTGGATTTATGTTTAGACTTACTATAACCTTTTTAGTTCTAACCTTTATCAATGTTTCTATCGTTATTCTCTATAATAAGAGCTTAATTCTTAGAGTTTGACTCTTTTCACCATCTTTTTTCATTAAGCTTATTGTCCTTTATTATCTCTAACATCATCTTGTAGTTGGGAGTTGAAATAAGAATGATAACAACTATAGTATTTCAACTGTCTAGTAATGAACCTAAAAGAAATAACACCTTCATTTTATTATTCATTTTAAGCTCTATAGAAGTCATCCGATTAAATATATTTTGAAAATCACTTAAGTGCTTTGTAATTGATCGTCCATCTATGTACTGTAAATTTGTAAGCTTTTTAAAAAGTATAACTGTATTCATGCATATTTTTCTCATATATAATCTTACTAATTTTTCTTAAATAGTGTCTTATTCGCTATATGATGGAACACACTAATATCAATATATTTTCTAATTATCGTCAATGTCTTTGTACCTAACTTATTCTAGCTTTCATATTTTATAATTATTGCTTTAGTTGAATCATCTAATATCTGCTCTTACAAATCTTTCCAATATAAAAGATACTTCATCAATGGCATTCAAATTAAATAATTTGATGTTATCAACTTTATCATCAAAACTTGTACCATCCTCTATGATCTCAAATAAAATTTACTAGTTGTTACAATAACTCTATCTAGTTTGCTACAATATTGACATCTAAAAATAACTTGGCTCTGATATCACTTGTTGAGCCTAAAGCAATAAACACAATAATGTGAAATAATATACTACAATAAACTCACAACAAATAGATAGCAATTAATAATAAAAAACATAAAAAAATAAAGTGTACCAAGATTTACATGAAAAACCTTCCAACATGGAAGAGAAAAACCATGAACCAATAAAAAAATCTTCATTATTAAATAATGGGTATCAAAAGTTTTCCTATAGCTAAAACTAAAGGTAAACAATAAGAGACAATAAAAAAAATCTCACCAAATAAGTGACTTAACAAATACATTTTGAATTTGTTCATAGAGAGCTCTAACATTGATCTTCACAATATAAAATGTAGAATAATAAGTCGTAAATGCGCTAACAAAATCCAACTTAATTAAACCATGAATCGAGCTCTGTTCAATCACTTGATCAATTAATAACTCTCCTTTCTCCTTATTTTTTCTCATGCCTGGACAACCTTAATTTTTAACTTTTCTAGTGGCTCACCCTTTTTAACACATATTTAAAATAAGGATTAATAGCACTTGTAATCCTTAAACTTTGTCACAAATTTTATTTTAGTCCTTAATATTTAAAAAATTATAATCAGATTCCTAATTATCCAAAATTATCTTATTTTGGTTCTTTCATTTATGAAACTGTCTAAGTTGATGGCAATTACCAATTGGCGTCAAGTGATAATGTCAGCTAGCATATTACATGATGTAATAAATATTGAAATAAAATTTTTTCAAAATTTAAGGATAAAAGATGAAATTATCTCAAGATTTTATATATTCTATAATATTAAATTTAAAATTATATTATTATATTTTTTGTTGTAATATAATTTATTAATTATACTTGATCAACTGATAACTCTCCTTTCTCCTTATTTTTTCTCATGCCTGGACAACCTTAATTTTTAACTTCTCTAGTGGCTCACCCTTTTTAACACATATTTAAAATAAGGATTAATAGCACTTGTAATCCTTAAACTTTGTCACAAATTTTATTTTAGTCCTTAATATTTAAAAAATTATAATCAGATTCCTAATTATCCAAAATTATCTTATTTTGGTTCTTTCATTTATGAAACTGTCTAAGTTGATGGCAATACCAATTGGCGTCAAGTGATAATGTCAGCTAGCATATTACATGATGTAATAAATATTGAAATAAAATTTTTTCAAAATTTAAGGATAAAAGATGAAATTATCTCAAGATTTTATATATTCTATAATATTAAATTTAAAATTATATTATTATATTTTTTGTTTTTAATATAAAATAAAATTTTAAAAATTAAAATGAAGTTAAAATTTCAAATTCTTTTTTAAAAATTCAATATCATTTTAAAAACAAAAAAAATTATTTTCTATTAAAAAAATATTATTTTACACTAAATATAATACCAAATATTATTTTCTATCCTAAAATATATATTTTAAATATTAAATATCTTTTATATCTTTTTTCAATATATTTATAAAAAATAAATAATAAAATAATTAAAGAAAATTTTTATTTTATATATTTCAAATATATTTTATGAATATTATAATTTAAAATCTTTTTTAATTTTTATTATGATATGATTTGTTAATAAAATAATATTTTTAATAGAAAATAGATTTTAAAAAATTAAAATTATGCTAAAATTTTCAAAATAATTTTTTAAAAATTACATATCATTTTAAAAAATTAGATAAAAATTTCTATATTAGTTTAAAAAATTAAATAAAAATTCTATATCATTTTAAAATACTATGTAAAAATTCCCATATCATATTAAAAAATAAATTTATTAATCAATTCAAAAATTTTATTTTCTATCCAAAAACTCTAATTTGAATCTATTTTTTGTTAAAAACTTTATATTCATATAAAATAAAAAATATAATATAAAACAAAAAATTTTATTTGAAACAATTTATAAATTAATTTTAAGTTTTGAAGATCTATTTTCTATTTAAAACAAAAAATTTAATTAATAAGTTATATTATAAAAAATAAAAAATTATAATTTTAAGTTTAATATTTTTATTAGATATTATGAAATATATAAAATTTTAAAATAATTTGATTCTTGATTCATAAATTTTGAGAAAATTTTATTTTGATCATTCTTTACCATTTAAGTGCTAACTGATGTCATTACGTGATGTCAGTAGTTATTTGTCATCAATTTAAAAAATTTTATAATAAAAAATATCAAAATAAGATAACTTTAGATAATTAAAAATCTAATTAAAATTTTTTTAAATTAAAAATTAAAAAAAATTGAATTACGAGTGCTATTATCCTTTAAAACAGCCCCCACATCTGCAATTAAAATAGGGCTTTCTCAAGTGGCATAAAAAACAAGAAGCTTATGGGCTTTTTATTAGTTAAAGTGGAATGGGCTGCGCCCATGTTCTCAACATGTAGGACCTCAATGGAGCCAGCAAAAGTTTCTTTCACATGAAAATTATAGGAAAATTCAACACCACTCAATGAAAAATATCAGGTAAAGCTTATTAGATTCCATCACTGCTGCGGTATACATAGAATAGTAATGATAGCAGCCGAGGAGAGTTGCAATACCTTTCAAACAAAGTATTGTAATTGAGTAAATTACTTAGCTTGGAAGCCACCATCGACAACGAGGTCGTGCCCTGTAATCAACTCTGACTCATCACTAGCAAGAAACAGAACTGCATCTGCCACATGTGCAGCTCTCAACGCAGCTCCCTTTAGAACCCTCCGTGCCTCATAAAGTTCCTCAACCTCCTCCACGCTCTTCTCATGCGCGTGGCATGTCATCGGCGTCGCCAGCCCATTCGGTGACACGCAGTTCACCCTTATCCCATGCACCCCTAACTTTTTACTCGCGGATCGGATTAATCCCAACACTGCATGCTTTGACATGCAATAATCGGTCCTCCTTCTGACTCCATGGCTTGCCGCCACGCTTGCCGTGCATACTATACTTCCTCTCACGCGCCCCTCCACCATTACACGCGCTGCATGCTTAACACATGCAACCATACCCCGGATGTTGATTGCCATCAATCGGTCAAATTGTGGAAAGTCAAGATCCAGAATGGTCTGATCAGCCTTACTTAAAATCCCAACATTGCTAAACATGATATCAAGCTGACCATAACTTTGGATCGTTGATTGAACCAAAGCTTTAACTTGATCTTCATCGGTAACGTCACACTGCATGTAGGTACAATTGTGGCAACCAATTGAGGTAGCCACTTGTTGGCCTAGTTGATCTTGGATATCAGCGATTACGATCATACGGGCGCCATGATCAGCGAAAAGACGTGCCGTGGCTTCACCGATGCCGCTTGCTCCGCCGGAGATTATGGCCACTTTGCCTGCTAATTTCTTCTTGGTCAAGTCCGCCATCTTGCATTCCACAATTAGAATGTAATAGTAATTGAGAAGTCAACTGCCCTACCGTAATTTGATTGGCAATATATGCTAGACAGGCATTGGTTACAACCACCTGTTTTACGCCTCACGTTTCGTTTGATAAAGGTAAGGACTTACAGGTCCAAATGGTCACAATCACGTTTTTTATTCCCCAAGGTTGGTTTGACAGAGGTAACGAGCTAGTGGTGAAAATGATATATTATTGCTCACCGTATATTCTATTTTGATTCAAATAAAATTAAAGTTAAATTGTTGTAGAAATGAGTCTGAGTTTCAACAATATGACTTATTAAATGAATTAAATTTAAGTTTTTTAAAATAAATTCAAATAGCTTATGAGTTTAATTGAATTTTTTATTTTAATATATTTTTTATTATTTTAATTAAAAATTTATTATTTTATTTTTATGTATATCAATTCAAGTTCAAATTTTAATTTGAATACAAATAATTGAGTTTAAAGTTAATCACGAGAATTAAAATTTATTTTTTTATTCGATGAATGAACTTAATCAAACAAATTTGAATAGTTAGATTTTTATCTAAAACAAAACTCAAACTTGAAAATTAAAATTCAAATAAGTTCGAATCAAGTTTTAAGCAACGAGTTTCAAGTTGAACTTGAATCAACTTTCTCACTATATCTACTTGGTTTAGCTCAATTACACTCCTAAGTAAGGTTACGAATTCGAAAATTTTCTTTCTTAATTTTGTATGAAAAACTAAAGAAAAAAAAGTTGTTTTCATTTTCTTAGAACAAAAAAGGAAGAAAAATGAATGAATTTCTAAAAATTTTACGGAACATCTTTAAAAGATTTTGTAAAAATGGGTAAAGTTTAAAATTATTATAAGAATACTAATTTTGATAATCTATAATTTAATATAAAAATTGTCCCCCAATTACAATTTAATGGCCACTTTAGCAATGTCTTAAAAAAATTGAGTGTTAAATTTAACGAAAAAAATTGGTTTACGGTTGTCTCCTATCTTTTTTGTTTTAAGGGTTTGAAAGCCCTAAGACATTCTTTCTTTCCTTCTCTCCTCGAGGCACTTCTCTCCATTCTATCATCCTTTTTGTTTTTCTGTTGACAGTGTTGCCATCGCCTTTTCCAAGGTTGAGGCTACTATTTGTCAACATTGGCCTTCCCTTGATTTTTCTTTATCAGTCTTTATTTAGAAAATCCATTTAAAAAACCTGTAGGATAATACTTGAAAATAACATTGGGATTGATTGTTTTTGTTGAAGGCTTCAAATATCAAAATAGGGAATGAGATTAAAAGAAAGAGCCAAAGACTCCGAGATAAGATTGAAACACGACAGACGCATGGATACCAAAGATTTCATCAAAATTGAAACCAAGGTGAGAGACTATGGTTTGAAACCAAGGTGAGAAATTGTGGTTTGAGAGTGATGATCTTGATGATCAACAAGCTATGTTCATGGTGCACTAATAAGGAGATGTGGGATTAATTCATGCATGAATTTGACTCACCATTTATTTCTCATGAATTATTAAGATCGTTGTTTTTATGTTATCATTGGATATTTTGAGTATCAGTTTTGCATTTGGATTTTTTTTTTCATGCATGGTGCCTTTTTTTTTTTATTAAGTTTTGCTTTTTTTATTTAGGTTAGTAATTATGGATTATGAATTGATGGAAGCTATTAATTTTATGTTTGATTTTTTTTTAGCCTTAAGGTGACATCATGGGTCAAGTAAGACAATTCTTCTTAAGAACTCTAGTAGCCGAAGCAAGATTCTAACCTTAATTTTGACTTTCTTTCTCTTCTTTCCAAGCCCAAGGTAAAATCAATTTGTAGGAATAAAATAAATTATTTGCTTACTATTAAAAAAAAGAAAAGAAAAATTCAAAATCAATCATTTATGGAATTGATTGTATAAATGCAAGGTTATTATAAGATATTAGAAATGGAGTATGATGCTATAGAGGATGTTGTTTGCTCAAATTATATCTGTCTTACATTAGTTTTTTTTTTTCTAAAAGTTAACATGAGTTTTTTTTTATAATTTTTTAATTTTTTAATTGAATATTATGAGCTACTTTCTAGCATCAGGATAAGCAAAAAAACAATGGGAATAGCACTGAAACACAGTCATATAAGTTTTGCTTTCGGGTTACATAAATATGTTCCTTTTGCTTTGTTAGTGGTGAAGTATCCTTTTCACCTATAAACTTGTGTGTTGTATTATCAACATTCTTATAAATTTTTTTTGGCCCAATTTTCATGAAATGCTTTATACATAGCAAATTTAGCTTTATGTCTATCACTAATATTGTTTTCAATTGACATATTGACATCCTAGTAAGTTTTTCTCAGATGTCACTTTTAACCTTGAATATTTAGCATATTTGTCAATACATTTATATATCTATTCTTTTGGTCCACTCCTAAATTATGATTGATGGCTGCAAGTTATTTACCGATTGATATTAGAATGCTGGCCATTACCATTTAAATTTAAAGAAATCCTATTATATGCTTATAGCCCTTACCCTAAACACAAATGAAAAAAAAAAATTTTTATTTTAGAATCTGATTAATGAAATATGTTAACCTTAAGTTTTATTTGATATCAAGGTATCATTCCATTCTTAAAATCTTAGAATCTGATTAATGAAATATACACTAAACATAAGGAATTTTTTATTTTTTATATCAAAGTATCATTTTTCCTATTTGATTTTGCTTGAAGTGATTATTCGATCTTTAAGTTCTTTGCAAGAGTTACTTTTTTTGTTATGTACAAATGTTGTTATGATGAGTTAATAGAGAAACTTAATATTACAGCTATATTATACTTCAACAAGTTCAAGAATACAAGTGGCTGACATAGATATTTCTTCTTAACAAGACACTTATATGGTTCATCATGTTTTTGCCATGTCAGCCACTCATAACCCAAAAGACCTTGCTTTTGCTTTGTATGGTGATATGTCTTTGACACATGTATGTATAATTTGCTATACTTCTACTGCTTGGATTCTCTTTAGTTGCATTTCATGTTTAAACAAATTGAATCCTTGAGTTAATGCTCTGTATTGAAAAAATTTTGTTAATTTCTTCATTTAAATTTCTGTTATGATTTTATTTAATTTTTTTAATATATCTTTTATATTGCAAAATTTTATTCAACAAAAAGGAAAAAAATAATAGAAGCATAATATACGGATTGGCCAGGAAAAAAAAGATTGTCTAAGTTATATCACCTAATACTCAAGAAACAATTAAGGAAAATTAGAAGACAAATCAAAATGATAGATTTAGGTTTTTACCTCCGTTAAACTCAGATCACCTAACCTTAAAGATAGTTTGACAACTTAATGGTGTACTTTAGAGACTTATTTTTAGTTATATTGCTCATTGCTTTCTAAAGATTTTTGTCAAGTTCCTATAACGAACGATTGTTTTCTTCTTGCTTTGCAGGCATTTAGGCTAGTTGAGACACAAAGAAAGAATATGAAGCAAACTTTCAGGATCAAGCCTGATGGGGTCTAGAAAGACATGGGAAGAAGATTTCTTAAAGATTCTAGATTTTCAAGATATGAAAGAAATGGGTTTTCTTTCCCCTATATTATTTGTTTTTTAAAAAACCTTTTATTTCTCATTTAACAAAAGAGAAAGAGATTTTTATATAAAATGACAAGCAAATTTGCTTTAATAAATTTTTTTTTTTCGATGGAGCATTTGACAAAAATGATAGAAGAATAACTGGGTTTAATTTTTTTTTTGTTTTATATAAGTATGCAATAATCAATGATTTGATGATAGGTCCATTTCAAAGGTATAAAAAATCCAACCATTGCTATCAACCTTCTAACTGCATTCCTTTTTAATGGTTTAGAGAGGTTGGTATTGTTTTTATTTCACTCTTTTAAATTTATATTTTCATTTTTTATTTTTCTTAATTGTTTGATTTTCTTTAATGGGTATATTAGGAAATAAAAAAACAATATTGAGGTTATTTCACTTTTTTATAGATAAAAACTAATTTTCAGTTTTCAGTTGCTTTAGTTATCAATTTTTAGGTTGTAACAACACTTCATTTTCATTTGGTGAAGTTTTACACTTCTTTTGCTATCTGGGTTTTTATTGTTTTTTATTTTAATTTTTAATTTGATTTTGATTGATTTTTTTTTTGTTGTGCAAATGGTTTCATTTCATGACACCAAATGCAAAATTTTGCAAAAAAATTATTTAAATTCCTTAATTTTCATATTGAATGCCACCACTTTCTTCTACGTTTAGTGTATGTCTGTGTGTATTTGTTTGTGATGATAATTTGACTATTTCATTGTAGGCATGCCTAGCCTTCTTTTTTTTTGCTTTTTCTTGTCAGTTTATATTTTGAGTTCAAAATAGTAAAATGAACTAATCATTTTTGTTTTCTACTAAAAGAACAAATTTATAGATATAGTAGTTACAAATTTTTGGCCAATGAAATTGATCAAGTTGTATCAACTTGAATTGAATATTCTTTTTCATTTCTTTCTTTTATTTTTTAAACTTCAACCAATAATGAAATAGCCAAATTTGAAACTAAAAGCTTAAATGTCTTGGTGAAATGGTTTGTTTAGCCTTACCTTTATTGTGTCCTTTCTTTTTGCCCTTCTTTGTGTTTAAAATCTATTATTGGTGGAATTTTAATGTTTATTCTTTTATTGATGACTTTACTTAAGAATATAGGGACAATAAGCTTAAAAAGAATATAATGCCATCATTTGCACATAGCTATGGATCACCCTTACCCAATTTCATCATTATAAAATAGTAAAGATTAATTTATCTTTAAGCACTTCCATTTTTTAGCCTATTATAAAATATGTCTGCTTATAGTTATATTAAGGGAAGAAATAATAGTGATTAGCTAGAAATTACTTTTTGTTGCTTGATAAATAATTATTATCATTGCAAGCCTGTATTATGAATGAACATGAAGATTTTCATGTTCTTTTAATGCCACTTTCCTATGAAAGTGTTATAAATTTT